CATGCACACACACACAGAAGATGCAAAGCCCATCCCTATTAACCCCAAAGTGGTTTTCAGTGCCTGTGGGAGAGCTCAGCCCTCTGTCCCTGCAGCAGGGAGGGCAGGGCACCAGCAGGGATGGAAACCTCCATGGCTGCACCTCAATTCCACGGGAAGGGATGAACCCCCATGGCACAGGGATGTAATCCAGCCTCTTCTGCTCCTTCCCAGAGAGGCTCACAAGTTGCCAGCTGTGCTCAGGCCTTGGCTTTTTGTTAAATAACAACTATAAAAGCCTCATTTTTTTCTCTTGCAGCATGCAGCAGCAGATCCATGCTGCCCTTCACCACCCAGCAAAGCAGTGTGCCCAGGGCTGGATGGAGACACTGGACATTGGTCTCCATCCCAACAATCCACTCCAATCCCCTCCATTCCCTCCCCAGCAATAATCACAATAAATAAATTAATAAAACATGCAACACACACCAGGCTCTGCCCAGGACAATTAGGAACAGTTTAGGAAAAGGAGTTACAGTTAAAAGTAGAAGGGATTGGACGCAATGTCTTGGATTCTGAAAGAACCCGAGCTAAAAGACCTCGTTCCATGAGCCCAAAGGGAGCAGAGGTCTGTGGAGGCAGCAGCTACAAACAGCACAGCGTTTGTGCTCCCAGGATTTTGTGCTGCTCCAAGGAGTTTCCCTTGTAGGAACAAAAAATTCTGTCCCACCCTAGTGACACTGCATTTTTAATTGAATTAAGATGTTCATTTGAATGACATGAAAATTTCTTTTGACTGTTTAAGAGGTTTCATTTGAATTACATGTAAATTTCTTTTGACTGGTTCTCTCTATTAGAAAAGGAGGGAGGGGAAAGGTTAAAAAAACCAAACAAGCAACATTTTCAACTAAAAAAGTCACACCAGCTCTCCCCTCTACCATAGAGGCTTCAATTAAACCAGAGCTTCAGTAAACTCAGTAAAGCATTAAGAGTAACAAGTGCACAAAATAACCTCCTCTAAAGAGCTTGAATCTTCAAGAACACAAAGAAAGCTAAAAAATCAAAAGGTCATTGCCATTTGATGAATTTATATCCAAAATTACACAACTCATCTACAATGAGAGAGAAAATCTGCAGTAAAGTGATTAATTAAATTAATTTGCATCTTCCATGACCTCTTAATCCTAATACCAGGATTCTTTTTATTTGCATAAGCAGGGTAGGAAAGGCAACAAACTGAGTAATTCTAGCAGAGGTGTAACAAAATACAGTTTTCAGTTGGAAGTGCCATCTTCAAAGGAAGGAGCTTCCACCCTTCCATCCAAAAGTCCCCCAGCACCTCATATCCCTGTCTGTGATTTCCATAAAGGAAACACAAAGTTCACGCTCAAATTTCAAGGAACTACCAGGAACATCAAGAACCATCACTTCAGCCATGAGAGAAGGGGAAAAAAAGGTAATATTTACAGTTTTTATATCGCTTAAACAAATCAATTCCACAGATACCAACTTCAAAAGGCAAGCAGAAATCCAGGATGAATCCACCAGAGCTGGGATCCAGCACAGGAACACACCAGAACAAACTTAGCTCTCACTAATTCCGCTTGTGCACACAAAGTTAAAGCTTGCTGTGACATTTTGAGAACTGATTATGGCTCGTGTTGTCCAAAGCCTTGGAGTGCTTCTGGATTAAAAATGCAATCCCAGGTCCTTCCAGCCCCGTGCTCCAGTGGAATTCCCAGTTTTGGACTCCTGTAATAGCAGCACTGCATGATCTGAGCTGTGCCATCCCTGTTAAATCAGAAGCATCGCTCTGAAATCCAATTCTGTCCAGAGTTACACTGGAATTCTGGCTCAGAACGTCACAGGAACCAAAATATTCCAATGTGTCCTGCAGACCTCTGCCAGCAGGAGAGGGCACACACTACATTTCAGTGGAGACGTTCTCTTTCATATGGAAACGTTCTCATTTCCAAGAGGGAGTGGAAAAATAACTGCAAAGGCCTTCTGATCTAAATCCAGTCCCCAGAGCAAAGGTCACTGCAAAAATGTTTTATTCAGCATCAGAACTTTTGGAATTCTTTCAAGGAGAAGAAAAAGCCCAACAACAACAACAACGGGGCTGAGATTTTTTTTTTCCCACTGAACTATTTCTTCCTTTTTAAACAGGGATACAATTCCCCAGGATTTGGTGAACACCAGTGAATTGTGTCTCCCTCCAGCACACAGCAGGTAAAAAAGTGGGGAGAGAAATAAATAAAGGGGAAATCACTATATTGATGATGGTGTTACAGTTGAACTCAATGACCTTGGGGACCTTTCCAATCTCAAAGATTCTGGAATTTTATTCCATGGAAATTCTGTTTCACTTTGCCCACACTGCTTAGGCAGAGAGCTCTGTATAACACAAAGGTGTTTTTGCAATTCTCCTCTCTCCGTTTTCCTTTTCTCCCTTCTCCAGAGACATGAGACAATGTTACAGCTGGGTTGGTACATGGCAGATTTGTACATTTACCTATCATTTCACACCAGGGAAAAACACCTGTATTTCAATCACTATTTAAAGAAAACCTGTAGTTCATTTTAAATTAACAGCAACCCACCATGAAGGCATCACTGAGCTGAAAATATCACCATATTTATTGATTCACAAGGATGCAAGGTGCACTTCAGACATCACATTCCGCCTGCTGCCGAGTCCCTAAGCAGAGGTGTTTTCCTTTAAAAAAGCCAGATAAAGACCCCTAAATAAATCAAAGCACTGCTGCCCAGCTACTCCAGAGCACACAGGACTCTCCTGGTTTGAAAGACAATTAAAAATTACCCCACAGGGTGCATTTTAGGGGAGTGGAGTGTGCTGTTCAGCTCCTGAGCTGCTGTACTTTGGTGCTGTGGAGGTGTGTGGGGAGACAGACAAGACAAGGATTTTTCCGTGCACAGACAGGCACAGCACAACTCTGTTACTTTCTTTGCATTGCATGTGTTGATGGAGATGTAGCACACAGGATTATCCCTCACTCCTCAGGCCCTGTTCCACTGGGCGAAGAGGCAGAACAGAAATAACTGTGCAGAAATAACTCTGCCAGAAGGAGGAGTCACTCTCTTGATGCTGCACCACCAGTTAGTGGTAGAAAAAAGAAAAATATTTAGCTTTGAGTTTTGCTTCTTTCACCAAGCCAAGCCTCCTCCAGACAGCAGGGCAGAGCTGGGATAAATTCTTCTCTCTGCTGCCTAAATCTGATTTAGTGACTGCCTTTAACAGTGAATGGAGCAGTTTTATCAGGCTGCACCCTGATTTGTTTCCCTCATCTGCCCTCACTGAGCTCCAGAGTTCACCTGGAATGGAGACACACTCACACAGGAAGGGAAGAACCAACACACAAACAGGAACTGCCAGACTGAGCCTGGAGGATGCTTCCATGCCAAGAGAATTTCTATTGCTGTTAGAAGGGCAGGCAGGAAAAAGGCTCTGGGCTCAGAACAAATTAGGAGAGGTCTAGACTAAGTTAGGAGAGGTCTTGGAGCAAAATAGAAAAGGTTGGGACTCACTGAGCACAACAGGTGATTTGTGATGCACATTTTACACACAGTTGTTAGAAAGAAAAACCCTGTCCTCTGTCATGGTTTCAATTTCATTTGACATCAGCAGATCCCAAAGCCTCCCAGGAAGCATCAGAATCTTCATTTTGCATGAGGATAAGCAGCTGGCTCAGGATTACAAATTCAGCTGGGGCAGGAACTGTCCCTGTCAAGGTCTCGATCCAGGGGCAAATCCAGGGCCTTCCATCCCGAGCTGCTTCCCAGAAAATTCAGACTTCGGGCTGGAAAGTTCCCAAATGCACATTCATACCAAGCATCAACACAGCCAAAAATAAGCTCGAAATTTCATAGGAAAGGTCAAGATGGCACATCCAGGACTTCTGCTCCCCAAAGAGCCCATTTCACTGCTCTGGCCCCAACCACAGCTTGTGAACACAGGATTAAAAGGGAAAACCATGGAGTAAAGGGAGGAGAACCCATCACCTCATCAGAGTTCCAAAATTATTTAGATTAACTCTGTGATTAAAAAACAAAAAAAAAAAAAAAGCAAAATATTGCAGATCTTTATTCAAACCAGCTTTAATGCTCTGACTGCCAAAACAAGTCCACAAGAAATACTATGAGAAATAAAGCTTATTAAAAAGGAGATAGAGCAGGCCAGACACAGACAGGCATAAAAACTGGCTCCAAAATCAATCCACTCCAGCATCAGCTCTCTTGTAGCATCTGCTTCAGGGAAAAGGAACCCTTTAACAGTTACTACAGAATAATCTGGGGGAAAAGTTTTCATCCTGGATTTTCCTTATTTACTGTTCCCCTTCTGGAGCCCTCGTATGTGTGCTCCTTTCTGAAGCAGCTCTGCCTGGTTTTATTTGCCCTGTCTGAGCCTTGCTGAACTCCAGATTTCAAACCCTTCCATGTCAGCGAGTTCCACAGGGAAGCTTATATTTTCTAAGCTCCCCCCAGTACACGCAATTTTTACAGTGCCACTTCATGGTTTAATAAACTGCTGTTCTCTCCATTTATGTTGCTGACCTAAAAACTAGCAAAAGACCCTAAACCTGGAACTGAAACTGAGTAATACACCAAGCTGTTCTACATAAAATTGCTCACAATCCCAAACCTGTCAGATTTCATGTTGCATTTTTGCCTTTTTACTCCTCCTTCTCTCCCCACATTTCTACAAAAATATTGCTCTTTTGTTAAAGAACATTACTGAAGCTGCCAGGCTCAAAGCTTTATCTGTCTCAGTAATCCAGTTGGATCCCATCCCTGCTGAGAAGAAAATGTTCCAGGAGCACACATGGAATATACGGACACAATAAAAACAGAATTTCATTTTTAAAATAAACATAAATTTTGTCAAGGTCCCCAAATGGCAGGCATCAACAGATAACCAGTGAGAAACAATCTTTGATGATTCAAAGTGAAAAGCAACAATTCTGGGATGCTTTGCAGGAAAATGAGAATTCATCTCCTACCTGTCAATGATCACGGGATCAGATGGAGTTTCATTTCTGTTGCCACAACTTTTCTTCTCACAGCACCGACTGGAGAGGGAAAGAAAACCAAAATTAAAGAACCACTGGGCAGTTGAGAGCAAAAAACCAGTTCAAAGTCTATCAGAAAATCTTCAGCACTCGATGTATGCTTGGAAGAGTAAAAATTCTGCTTTCCAGAAGGGAAAATTAAGGGAATTGGGTGCCTAAATCCTGGCTGGTTCCAGCTGGAGTTTGGCACTTAGCTCCCTGCAATCTATTCTGAATTACCCAGCCAAAAATGAACAGCAATATGGCCACACTTGAGACTGAGGTGATATTTATAAAGGTCCAATAAGTGATTAACAGATGTCATAATGTCATTACAGGCAGGACCAAATGGGTTATGTGGGGTTAAAAGTCCATCAAAAGGTGTTAGAACTGACTATAAGCAAACTAATGTTTTGGTATATTCCAGTAATATTTTTTTATATTACTGTATTTTTTTATTATTAAATATCTACGTTTTATATGGTGACTGAAAACTTCAGTGCTCCATGAAAAGTCAGTTTAGATCCTACAAAGGATCTAAAGAGATGCTTTTCAGGTTCACTTTTGCAAACTCATTGCAACTGTTTCAGTGATAAACCCGTAAGATTAAGTATTAATTTATACACATTCAAGGATAATATTAACTATTATAAATAATAATAAAAATTTAAAAATCAAGAGACTGCTCATTATTTCCATTGAAATAATCACTGCCGTGGGTGATGCTCCTGCACACACAGTAGCTGAGTACCAGGAGTTAAACAGATTTTAAAAACAGTCCTTGCTCTGAAATCTTCACTTTTAATACTCTGAAGCAACAAAGAAGATTTAAACTGTTTTCACGCTCAGGTTTTTGTTCCAGTCAAAGCCAACATGGGACAGGAGGACAGAGGCACCCAAAGTTTCAAAAGTCTCTATCAGAAGTCCCACATCCCTCAAAGTCACCTCATCAGACTCCTTTTTAGAAGATATTTTCCATATTTTGCAGAGGTTTCTGTTCAAATTTACACACATGGGATGAAGAAATTGTGGTGGGTTTTTGTACAGGGGTGCTGAATACATCTGCAAAGTTCTCAAGCACTCTGAGTATCAGAGCTTTCCAACTGGGGAGGAATTCCAAGGAGAATAAAATAAAGAAATTTCTTTTTTAGAAAGTAAATAAATAAATATTAAAAGAAGAAATAAATAAAATACTTGAATTCATTAAAGGCAGAATAAAATATCAAAGCAGGGATTTTTTTCTTGATAAGCCTAATATTTAATTATAAATGCCTAAAATGAGCATTTAGACCAAAAAAAAAAAAAAAAAAAAAAAAAAAAAAAACCTCTTTCAACTATGAAAAATCCCAACATTTCCTTCATTTTCCGGGAAGTTCCTGCTCTGGAATTGCCCAGCCAGATGAGCTGGAAGGAGCAGATCTATTTGAATAACAGCTCTAACTGTTTCAACATTCCTACATTCCCCTTGCCTCAAACCTGCACTTATTCATCGATGCTACTCCTTTTAAAATAAAAGGATACACTAAATATTTAAAAATCCCTGGGGCAGCCCCTGTAGCTGCTGTAAATTGTCATGGCTCCACTGACTTCAGTGCAGCTCTGGTAATTCACACCAGCGCAGAACATCGCCCTCCCTCCCTCTCCCAACTTTATTTTAAGTGCATCTTTTATGGATTTCACTGCCTAATCAGTGTTTAGAAAGAATGGAGTATTTTTATACCAGGAGCCAAGATGGGAGATGCTTCCTAAAGGAGAAAATTATGGTAAAGCCATCCCCCAAAAAAGCAGAAAATCCTCTCAAAGGAACATCAGTTTGGGATGCACTTTGACATGTCCAATATAGCAACACATGGAAAATAACATTTGGAATAAAATCTTTGCTGCCTTACAGGCCATTATAATAAAGCAAAAAAAAAATTCTGTAGTGATTCCAGGGATGGTGCCACTTCTTGGCAGAGCATTTTAGGATGAATTCTGTGAGACTGAGCACAATGTGGCTGGGTTCAGAAACAGGTGCATCTTGTTTTATTTCTATTTCCACTATTATTGCAGTTCTGAACCTTATATTTGTAATATTCAAATATTTTACTCTAAAACTGTGGTTTGCAGCTGAAGTTCTCCAAATATTTTACTGATATCTACATTCCTATCACAGCTGGGGAAAGATCTTTGTAAGTGATAGACTTTTTCCCCTTTGACCATGGTACTTTCTGAGCCCAAATATATGAAAAAAAAAATCTTGAGGGAGAAGAGCCACTTCCAGGGAAGGAATTACTCCTTGCACATAAATCAGAGTGGGACTGAGGATGTTTCAGCCCAACATTATAGCAAAAATGCCTCTTAAATCTTTAAATCTCCATTTCCAAGGGTTTCACCCTTATCCAAGCAGTAACAATTCCACTTGGTTGGTTTCACAAGCGCTGTTTGTAACAGAATTGACTGGTTCCAATTTCAGTCCAAGCCAAAACCCCCAAACTCTGGTGGTCCAGGATCAAGCCTTCAATATTCTCTTCAAGCAAATTATTGGCATGACTTCACCAACATTTACATTTCTGCTACAGTGTTGGGCTGGGAACACACTTTTCGAGATGCTCATTTGCTTAAGACAAGAATAACAAGGCTTAAGATGATTTTCTACATCTTTTGTTGCTATACTTTCTCCTCTAGTGAGATCTACTTAGTGAAAATGATGGTTTATGGTTAAGAATGGTCCAGAAAAAACTAAAACCAAACCCAGAAAGTTCCCAGAAACAACCCCAGCCCTACAAACTGAGCACCCCAGAAACCTCATGCCAAAGCCAAACTTCCATCCTTTCCCCTCCTCGTACTTGACTAAAATGGTTTTAAAATTCATCCCTCAACTTCCCTCCCCTCACCCCAACACCAAAATAAAATAAAAAAAAAAAAATTTAAAAAAAAAAAAAATCTGTCTCTAATTTCAAACTCAAATAAGCTCACAGCATGGTGGCCTTTGTTTTGTTTTCTTCTGCCCAACTCCTCCCTGCAATTGCATAACAAAAGTGTCTAAATTCACACCATCTGGCCGATAAAGACGCGGGCCCCAGCGGCCGCCTGGCCCAGCTGATTAGAGCTCCCGTCTAGTCTGAGCCTTGTGGCGAAAGTCACAGCTGTGGGGCTCGCTCCACTCAATACAACTCTGTTATTAGCCAGCTGTAGACCCTGAGACTACTTCTGTTCGAATTATAATACCTTTTAACCCTCTGAGCATTGAGGGCGTAGGGGGTTGCTGGCAGCAGCATAACAACGAGTTTCCTCTTAGTGGATAATTGGAAGAAAAGGAAGAAGACTGGAGGGGGGGAAGTTATTTCAGGAGAGGAAGGTGTTTTACCTTGATTTCCAGCCCCCGGGATTGTGTTATTCCACACAAACACACCTAATAGGAGCTGTTCATATTAGGCCATAAGAAGCAAATGGAAAAAAAAATCAGATTGGAAATGAATAAATCGAGCCTCGCACTGGAAGCCCTGAAAGCACTAATTATTGAGAGCTGAACTTTCAATGGCTATGACAGATTGGTGCAGCCGTATCAATATTTAGACAACTTTCCTGCTAAGCAGGCATCTGTCACCGTCTGAGGGAGAGACGGGCACTTTCGGAGGAGCTCGTCTCCACACAGCAAAAAATATCTTCATGTGTGGTTATGTACAGAAAAATCCCCCCTAAAAAAACCCTACCTTCAGCTGGGGAGGATTGGAAGAGGAGCAGAAAGACAGACAGACCCTTCTTGTTTTCCTTTTCAGAAGCAGTAGGCATCAATTTCGACAGCAGAGTGGGTACAGTGCATTAAAATTTTATGTACTGTTCCTAATGCAAACTAAACTAGAGGCTTTAAAAATTGATGCTGCCACTTAAGCAGCACACAATGAGGAAGATTTGATTATTGTACTTAAAAGAAATAAAATAAAATGTCAAGTTTAACTAGAGTTGGAGCCATTCCCCTGGCATTATTCAAAGTGATGTGTGTAATGCCTCTTCAGAATACATAGCGTCCTGCTCAGAGATACTTCAGGAAAACACGACATTTAAAATCAAATGTCTTCATTAGGTTACAGAGTGCTTTTGATTCCCTTCACTAATCTGTGTTTTACATGGGAAGGACGTCCCTGAGTTGTAATTCTTCCTTGGTTAATCTATCAAGCAGCAGAGCTGAGAATAATCAGAATAATAGCTTAGATTTGTGCAACGCTACCTTAAATCAAGCACAGAGGAGGTTTGCAGGCATCACTGGAGCTCAGAAATATCAAAGCTGAGCAGAGCATTTGATACCATAAAGGCAGGGAGAGGAAACAGGGGGAAAGCCCAAATTAATTTTAAATCAAACGTGTCCATTTGGGTGAGAAGGTGCTGAAATACTTGAACTTCCAAACCAGAACTGCGCTCCACGCAGGGAGAGTGGAGACAAGAAATGGGCTCACTGCTCTTATGTTATCACAAACCATAACCCAATTGCACAAGAAATCAGATTTTTCTTCTCTAATTTTCACTGGTTATAGTGAAACCTTTCAACAGCATACATGCATATATACATATATATATATAAAATTATATACGTAAGTTCTAGATGTGCCAGAAAGTCCCTTATACACCTTTGATCTTTGCCACTACATCATCAGGCCCTTGTAAAGCCCACCCAATGCATCCCTCATATATGACATACATTGTGTTTGGGCATAAATATGAAAATACTGGTCAAAAGCTAATTTATTTAATTAATGAGAGCTACACACAACAGAGAAACAATACAATTGTTTCATACTGAATACCTGATTCATATTATATTAAAAAGTAATGAAATTGTTGACATAATTAAGTACTGAAACTAAGACTTCCCCTTGGTAAAAATTCCGTCCAGATAGGCTTCTCCCGCTGCTACATTAACTTAAAAAGGCCACTTCAATTTAAAAAAAAAAAAAAAAACCAACAATCAAGTAGCAAGCTGAGCCATTAAAAGAAGCAACATTGAGCCCACCAGCTTAACCCTCTCCCACTGATACAATAAATCACAAACTGTGTGTAATAAAGGTCACGAATGGGTTTTGCCTCTTGTTTTATGAATGTTCTATGCACATTTTAGCACATTTTAATACAAGAACATTGACTGTTTGCATTATTATATGTATTGAAAAAAAATTTAATTACCCGAGAACAGGAAAAGTAATAAGTTACCATGGAAGCACGACATACATACATAAGGTTCATGTAAGTTCAGACTTATACAAAAGTTATTAAAAACATCCTCAAATCATTTCACCCTCTAATTTATAAATTCAAATGCTAAAAATAGTGTCCTTTTTTTTTTGTTTTAATTAAAAAGTAAAGGCTCCTAAATATTGTTCACAGGTAGAGAAAGGGTTTGAGGTTTTTTTCTTGTGGGGTAGAACTGCCCAAAATTAAAGAACATTAATGATGCCACTTTAATAAAGAAAATTAAAATATTTCACCAAAGGAAATTGCATTAAGAACATCCTGCGGTTTCCAGGTAAAAATATATAAATTAAACTGCTCATTCTCATAAGGTGAGCAGAAATTTTATGAGCAATAAGCATGTAAAAGTCTTGATTTACAACCCATGCAAAGACCTACTTTAAACAAAAATAGTGCAGCTGTGGTTGCTGAATCTCCTGCAGGAAAAATTAATAGCAAAAAAAAAATAGGAAACCTCCCCCAAAAATCTGTTTTGAACCCAAGCAAGCATTACGCACGTAAAGAGAAAGTCTTTCTACACAAAGACCCTCTCTGAGCCACCAACAAAATAAACAACAAAATCAGACTCTCCCTACTTAAAATTTCCTTGGAGAGGCTCTTCCAGCATTTTGGGAAGCAAAGCTCACAAATGATGTGTTAATAAAGTCATCTTACCTGCACATGACTTCGTGGGTGAGCAACACCCTGCACATCTCGGGGTTCTTGTTCTGGCCTTCGTAAGTTATAGGCTACAAAAATCAAGAGAAGGGGTAAGCCAGAAGCATCAGGGGTTATTTATTTCTTAGAATATTCAGATGTGAGGGGAAGGGATTTTACCTCTGCTTACCATCGCCTGCAAATAAACACCTTCCCCTTTATGTGCAGGGAAAAGAGCTTTACGTAAATGTTGCTACAAAGTGGACAAAAACCAACAGTCCACAGAGGGAAAAAAGACTTAAGAGCACAATTTTCAATTACTCTCCAAAATAGGTCTGCAATACAGCTGAGCAAGAGACCAAAGTGAAGCAGAGAAGGAAAAACATGCAAGGAAATGTCGAGCAAACAGGAAAGATGAGGTGGGACGGGACAGCATGGCACAGATCAGCCCTGCTCACCTGCTTGGTGACAGAATCAATGAGCCTCACATAGAGATCCTGTTCTGTCCTGACACCTACATCGAGGGAGAACAGGGATAAATAACATTCCACAGGCATCTTGCCCTCAGAGCAGCAGAACAAACCCAGCTAGTGCCGCACCAGACAGCCTCGGCACCCCAGGTAGTTCTGTTTCCCAAGCCCCTGTAAACTCCAGGGCCCATCCCTGCACTGAGGGATGCAGTTCCCTCATGCAAGGGAATTTCGGGGTATTTTGGAAAGCACAGCACCTACAGGCAGACCCTGCCTCGCTGCACAGCCCCCAGGAGGTGCCAGGGAAGGGCACTCACCGTTGCTGTAGAGGAGCTGGAGCTTGTAGTGTGTGCCGTTGTTCGTCTTCTCGTTGCCTTGCTCCTGAAAGGGAATTTGAAAAAAAAAGAGGGGGAAAAAAATCCTTCCAGAACTTACACTTGGCACATTTAAAATGCAAGAGCCGATAATCATGATGGAAGTGACAACAAAGTTGATTAAAATTCTAAGAGGTGAATCCACTGATTGGGATGTATTAACCTTCAGAGTGACCCAGGACAAGCTACAAAATACTTCTGACATCTTTTCCTGTAGGAGTTCAAGAACTTATTTGCCATTATACTCTCAACTTTTTCAAGGGAATACATTGAGAAGAATTTGTGCATTTCAAATCATTTAATATAAAGCAGATTGACACCAGGAAAACACAATGGCTTTTGATTTTACTGTGATCATTGCTTTTCAGTAGTGTTACTTTGAGTCAAAATTTATATTTATTTCCTGAAGGTTGTGTTACAGGGATGTTTCTTACATGGTAAGATAATTATTTATGATTCACAGTTCAAAAAATCTTGTTCATGGCGAAGAAAATAATTGGAAAAATGCAAAGTGGTCAAGACATGGAATTAAAATCCAAAAGCAAGTGCTTTTCAAGTCCTGCCATTGACTTTGGAGCCTTAGGAAATACATATAACCACACTGCTAATCTGACATATTTACAGGTCAGATTGCACTTCTGCTTGGGTACTAATAAAACCTGGCAGATGTGGTAGGTAAAAAAAAGCAAAGTGCATTTATCCCCCATGAATTTTATTTATTTTAGTTTTAGTGCATGAATGAAATTGGTGATACAGAGCAGAGGATTCCAACCCTTTTAACTACAGCAGCACACACAAGGCTACAACTCTACCACAGCACCTGAGCCCTGACCAAACCACGGCTGTATTTTTTTAGGGACAACAAGTATTAGAAGCTGGCAGCTCAGCGGGGAGAGAAGATCAAAATTGGAGAGAAAAAGAGGAAGAAGAAGAGTAAGGAGCCTTACTTTATCATTTTCTACAAAGTCCACAAAAGCTGTCCTCTCTATTTCCACGGGTTGCCCCTGTCTGTCGTAGAGAGCCAGAACAAAGTGAAAGAAATTGGATTTCCTCAAGTTGGAGGGTGGCTGCTTTTCAAAGTGGGCTCTGGACAAAGCTACTCCGCTGTGGAGGAAACACACGGGATGGGGTGAGGGGGGAGAGACAAAGACATTACCAGGTTGTGCAGCAGTAATGGCAAAACAACAACAGAAGAGGCAGAGTACGATCGGACTGTCCCTCGCCACCGCCGGGCTGCAGCCGGGCGGGACCGGGCGACGGTCACTGGAACCCGAATTTCGGCGTGGCCCCGCTCCTGCACACCCCGAGGACAACGCTACTTTACAGAGAGGGGTTAGTGCTAAAGGCAGCCTGTGATTTCCTTCCTCCACTCATTTCCCTGCCTGTCACCGCTCCTTGCTGGAAGGCAGCAGGGTGGGAAGTGGCTGTAACGTGTCAGAGGGTCTGGAAGTGTTCTTTGCACATCCTGGTCCCTTTTCCTGTAGAAGAAAACAAGCGACCCTAAAAAGCTTTCCTACGGGCAGGATGTCAACTCGGGGGCACCTCTGTTTTGGTCAGAGACAACGACTTTCGAGCAGAGCAGCCACTTCCCTCGGCAGCAAAGTTTGACTTTAGCCACTGACTTACTTGAACTGATTCCTGCGAATTGAGTCTCTGATTTAAACTGAAAGAATTTACTCTCGGGTTAACCAGCCCTTGAGAAAATCTTGTGCCTGACTGCAGAAAATGTTGTGATGTTTCCCACGCATTTCCCGGCTTCGACAGATTCAAATGCTTCTGTTTACCCACGATATCCCTGACTGCAGCTTTATCTCTTTGTGAAATTCGTTGTAGTTCCCTCTCCCTAAAGCAAATTTCTACCTACTGAGAAGAAAATAGGTGCACGTGAGCACCTCCAAATTACTTAACAGACAGATTAAGTCTATGTGCCAGACTAGTTACGAGTTGGACAGCTTTGGTTTTAGTCCCCAGAATAGTTCCACAGCACTGGCAGAAGTATTTGACTCTTTCAGAGAACTACAGATGTTTCCCTGTGTTTTCCTTGCCAATGAGGTACGGTGTGAACTCACCACATCCGCCACAACTGCACCTAGCCTAGGGATTCCTCTCATTCTGCGTGTAAAAACTGGGATTTATTGGTTTGTTAGGAATACCTGGGAGGAAAACCTGGCGATGCCAGCAGGCAGCACAACGCGGCTGCACCTCTGCCGCTCCCGTGAATTGGAGCCTTGTCAGGAGCTGTTTCCTTTTACTTTCAGTTTCCTCGAGGATAAACCTCTTCCCCCTCAACCGTATTTATTAAACGCTCTATCGACATTCATAAAACTCTGATAACTCCTCCCATGGCGCTTGGAAAACCTTGCTGCCAGATCAGGCCGTGGGTGGGGGCATGGATGTACTATTTCTAAAACACCCGTTTCATCTGAAGTCCCCTCTGCTGTTTCATGCCTTTCACCTTGTCTCTAATACGAAATAAAACCCTGCTTACTCCTGGGGTTCCCAGTTTAGCCTTCCCCGACGCTACTACTTTCTTTTTTAACTTTTTTTTTTTTAAGCTATCTAGAGAGCAAGGAAAAAAAAAATTACCCAAAGGAGTTTTCATCGTCTTATACCCCTAACGGGAAGAGACTGGGATAACTGTCCTGTGCCGACATGGCTGGGAAGAGAAAATAAAAAAGGGGACGTAAAGGGTGATAACCCGCCCAAACAAGCAGAAAGCAAAGAGTCAGACCCCAGTTTCGGGATGTTCAGAGCCATTTCAGCTCAGCAGAGACCGCTCGGACGCTCGGGCAGGTGCTCCAGGCGGGCAGACACGGGATGGCCGCAGGTTGCGGGATGCCCGCGGGGATCGGGGGTGCCTGTGCCCTCCCCTGCTCCCTCAGACCCTGCTCTGCCTGCCCGGAAACCACGGGATTTCGGCAATGCCCACCATGAATTAAGCAAAACAAAATGGGCCGGGGGAGCTCGGATTTGCAATCTGCATTTAAGTTAATTCTAACTTGGTCCCTTCTGTTCGGCTGTCTGGCCCAGCAAGCAGGGAGGAGTACCCTGGATTGCTGGGAACAATCAATCCAGAGCCCCACACATCTTCCTGGGGCAGAAAATAAAAGGGTGATCCCATCTCTCTGTCATCTGAGCTCCGCACTGGGTTTTAGGACTCCTGATGCTCTCCGGTTTTGGAGCGCTGCTGCCTAGCTCTAGCACCAACTTGACTTTTCGCTGACTGGAGGTGATCGGGAGGGGAACAGAGAGGAAAAAAAAAAATTAATATCAAATGCAAACAACGGGGCATAATAAAAAGATTTGCTTATTAAAAAAAAAAAAAAAAAGCAGAGGGAAAGCGGGAGAGAAATAGTCACGGTTACCTTTGTGCTGCTACGTTTGCATCCACAACCCCAACGTTTCTGACCCAGGACCTGACGGAATCCATCTCAGAACCTAGAGATTTATCTTTCAGAATTGGTCCTCTTCCTAAAGTATCTTGAATTCCAAACATTTAAAAAGTCTATGCCAACTAGCAACAGTTTCCTTTTGGGAGATAAGGGAGAAGGGAAAAAAAGAAAAACAAAACGACGCAGCCTTTGAATCTGACACACAAATCCCAGGAAAGTGAAGTTCAGCTTTAAAACCAACTTCTTCTGCTTTTAACGCTACGTGTTTTTAACGCCTTCAAACCGGGAAGAAAGTTTTTCCTCTTGCCAAGTAAAAGTTACGCTGATTCAGTCTCGCCTGGTATCACCATCCTTCTTCACACGCAGACGAGGGAGCCGCATCCAGAAAGCGATCGCCTCCAACGAGGATCACCTGTTCCTCAAACAGACAACGGGGAGAAGGATTGATCGCTGCCTAATCCAGGAAGAAGGAAGGAAGAAAGGAAGGAAGGAGGGGAAAAAAAAAAAACAAGCCAACCCAGACGTGGGGTAAATTGCCGGAGCGAGGCAGAGCCGGAGCCGGGGAGCGGCCGGTCCCACCCCGCGGCAGCGCCGGCCCTTCCCGCGCGGCGGCATGAATGGGTTACACGGCGGGCCGGGGGCGGGGCCCGCGCCGCATAAGGAGCGCTCATTTGCATCTCGCGCCGCGATTGGTTGAGTGGCGAGGTCGCGCTCCGCCCCCCGCGCGGCTCCGGGGTGGAAGGAGCGCGCCCGGGCAGGGCCAGCGCGGGGCTGTCGCGACGGGGATGTCGCGATCGAGTCATGGGGATGGGTTATGGTCACAGCCCGGCTGCCCCACACCGCACAAACTGCGCCAAAGCAGCGGGACCGGGGCGGAAACAGCGCGCCCGCCGCTCGCCCCGGCACAGCTGGAGCACGGGCAGGGGAACCGCGAGTTTATCGTGATGGGTTTGTCGCCGTAGCCCCGCAGCTCCACACCAAACGGTGCTGCCCCAGAGCGTATAAACGGTACTAAAGCTGCGGGACTGGGCTGCAAGGAGCACGCCCGCCGCCAGCCTCGCGGCAGCCGAAATCCGAGCACGGGAACGGCGGGTTGATCGTGATAGTTTATCGCGATGGGTTTATCGCGACCAGCAGCCTCACACCGAGCGGTGCTGCCCCAGACCGCTCTGAAACCGTGGGGCCGGAGCGGGAGGAGCGCGCCCGTCCCGGGACGTGAGCCCGGGCACGGCACTGGCGGGTCCGTCGTGGTGTCCCGGCAGCCTCACCCCGACCTGTCCTGCCCCAGAGCAGCCAAACTGCGCTAAAAGCAGCGATCTCTGTCCATCTGACCGCCCTGCCATGCCACAGCCGCCGCACGGGTAGCGGCCGCTTCGCTCTCAGGCGCGGGATTTAAAATGAAAAATTGCTCAGAGGGAGAGAAATGGGTCTGGGGGAGGGTGTAGGCAGAGGCTGCCTGCAGGGCAAGAGCCAGCCCAAGACTGCCAGGCACCCAGCAGACCCCAAAGTTACACCCTGAGAGCTGTCAGGTCTCACCTTAAAACTTTTTATAACATCCCATGTAGGCAACATTTCCCATTAAAGGAAACCGGAGCTCTTCCCAGCCCTGCCCGCGGTGACCCGGGACGGTATCTATGTCTGCATTTATTTTAGTTTATTTTTTAAGTCTGCTCTGCCTTGGCGATATTTTCCTCCTGGCCCTTTTGTATTCTGATCTGTGTATAGATCTGCCTCTGAAATCTATATAACACCAACGCGAAAACAGATTTCAAGACAATGAATGCAAATCTGTGCTCAGAGACCATCTGCCAGATGAGGGAATCAGATGTTCGGTAGTTAAAGGCACAGCGCAAGGATTCAAGGATTTCCTTGACTCATTATGTGCAGCTTCTCTCTTTAACCTGCTTGATTTTTTTTTTTTTAAACGGGATCGAACTATGATTTCCATTTCCGAATAAATCGGAACTCCTTCCATCCACGTTCAGCCGCGATTCAAAATGCCACCTATTAAATGCAAGATTATTTTCACGGAGTTTTATACAGTTCTCTCCAAAAAGAATCTCAAATTAAAATCTTCCCATGAAACTTTCATTAAAATGTATCCTTAATTCAGGCACGATTGAGGGCAAAGCCGGGACTCAGATTTATTCTGTCTACATAAGTGACAGACATGGTATTGGATGAACTAATACATCTCACCCAATCTTTGTTCAAGGAAATTCGCCATGCTAACCCACCTCCCCAAATTGATAAATATGCAGGAAATGATTTTGCCAGGTTAGCAAAAGGCGAGGCTGGCGTTATTTTAACATTAGAGAAAAGCAACAGCAGTTTGACGGAGCTAGAGGGTGGAGGCTAATCTTTCAAGACACTATTTTAGCATCTCTGAGATGCAATTTCTCTCTATTAAAAAGCCCAAAAAGAGTAAGATATTTTTAAAAAGTGAAAAACTTGAGCATGCAAGATAAATATATAGGCGATGGTAAGGCATATTATAGTGGGGCTTTTTTACCATTTTGCAGTAGGCGTATGTACATTTCCTCGAATAAAAGCCCCCTCTTTGTACTAAGATAATTTCTGGCAGTACCGCTCCGGCCGTTCCTACGTTTGTTCCTAAACCCTGGGCAGGGGCGGAAGGGGAGGGGGCGGAATTCCCTCTCGCTGCAGCCTCGGCCGATGCGTTCACAAGGAGAAAACGCTCCCTGATAAACCCGAGCCCATCTCCCCTGGAGATAAAGCCGAGCCTATCCCCGCAAGGTCGGGTCCAGCCCAGCCACTCTCCCAGCCCCCGGCCGGTGGCTGCAGCCCCGCCTGGCCCCCGAACAAAGGGGACTCGTGTGCCGTGGCCTCGGGGGACCCCCGCTTTTAGGGATTCGTGGCGGGTCAGAGGCCACCACCGCAGGTCAGGGGAGAAGCCCTCCCTTCGCCCCAAGCAGCTGCCACCAGAATTTGGCACTCGAGGCACAGATGCAGGGAGCATCGTCCCCTCCTGGCCCCGCGGGAGCTGTGGCCGTGGGGTGCCCCCTCCCCAGGACCGCGGGGGGCTCGGGGAATGGCGAGGGAGCTGCGCCGCTCCGGGAAGGGGAAGCGCTTTCAGGGACAGAATTTGGTCCCCCACCCAACCAAGTTTCTCGCCTTTAAGATACGCTGCAAAAGCACAGGAGTACTTGAATACTTCTGAAATTACAGACTCCTGATCTAGACTACCCATTTCAAGCCCAAACTGTATTTAAACCAAGTGAAAAGCCCATCGTTCAGACTCTTCTGATGCAAATTTACTCAGGGGAAAACAAAACCAAAAAGACAACAACAACATAAAGCCACCAGTGTTTATACCCGTGCTACCGCCGATAAATCTGGATTTGCACTTTGGAGGTTTCCGCAGTTCGGCTCGGGGAGTCGGATCCACCGGCAGGTAAAGAGCACCGCGGAACTCCGGGAGGGAAAACAACCCCAAAACAACCCTCCAGAGCCCGGAAAGCGAGGGGAGCGTCCAGCGGAGCATCTGCCGTGCCGTAAATACAATTACAGACACAAACGGGAGCCGAAGGTTTGGGAAGGGGTTCCGAGCCAAGAGGCGCCGGGAGCGGCTCCGACCCCGCGGTTCTCCAGGCGGAGGGAGGGGAAGGGCGTCGGGCCGGGCACTCCCCGCATCCCCCGGGCTCGGGGGTCCCTCCCGGCCGCCCCCGAATCCCCACAGCTTTCCATCCAGCGGGTTTCATTCAGCGAATCGCTTCGAGCGATTTTCTTCCTCGGACTAGAAGAGAAAGCGTGGGGCGGGGGCGGGGGTGAGAGGGTGGAAAGCAACTGGTTCGGTGAGTGCTGATCATTTCCTTCTGGAGGAAGAGTTATTCCCCTCCAGATTGCCGCACTCGTTTCCACATGCGGGGGTCAAAATGACAGGTGAGGCAGATTTGACGTGGTAAAGAGAGATGCTCGTCTTTGTTAGCAGGTTTTTAGCAGCGTCGTTTCATACACCGGAGTCAACTTTCACTCCTCGGCACATCTCAGCAACTCCCAGCAGGAAGAAATATGGATAGAAGATAATATTAACCCATTTAAAAGCATAACCTTCAACTACTATTGTTTCCTCTCACGTTTAAGGGGAGAATGTCAGGGGGAAAAAATGAAAAAAAATTAAATTAATCCTAAAGATGACACTTGGAAGGAAACATTTAATTCTTGTTCCTATTCATTTGTGAGAATTCACCAACTTTCAGGTGCCTCTAGGGAACGAATTGTAGGTTAAAATTTTGAGTGTCAGAACGGAGAAGGACAACTAATATATTTCCCTCTTTATCCACTAATCTCACTGGAAGGTTCATTTTTCCAGTACACCTGTACCAGAAAAATAAATGTGCCTTTTAGAAATATTTTCTTAAGCTGGTAACAGCCTCAAGTTCTGAGTCATGCGTTCAAGCACACATCGATTGCACTTTTGGCACTATAGTAACGGTATTTAGCAAACAAAGAAGTCCCCGAAAATAACTTTCAAGTGCCGAACATCAGCATAAACAAAATATTTACTTGCATGGGATAGCTTGCAGCTTGCAATAGAAACATGTCTACAAAAACCAGGAGCAGGCTGAGTCCTAACCTGTGGAATGAGGTGTGAGGAGGGCAGTCAAAGCACTGTGTACAGAACCAGACTAGACAACTGCTCCAAATTATGCAAGACTACTCTGGATTTACAAAACTCTCCATTTAACTAAAATAAAAACATACAAAATGAAAAAAAAAAATGCTTCTTAACAGGGGAGGTTTAAAGTAGTTCAGGCAAGTGCAACTAAATCCTGAAAGCAACTTGAGTTCTTAACTGTGAAAACTGCAAAACGGGGTCTAAAGTGATGCAGTGCTTCCCATTATATTTATTATAAACCTGGTTTTATACCAGGTTTAAATCAACACATTTCTCAGAAGAGAGCTCTCCATCTGTTTGCTAGAAAAGTTGAACCCCCAAGTATAAAACAATAGATCCTCATCACAGCCTGCCCACACCATCAGTAAATAAGCAGAAACACTGGTTTATAGCTGTAAAATTGTGAGCCCTACCTGGTCTCTGCCTCTTTCTCTCCCCCTTCCCTCTGGCACCATAAAGGCACTATTTACTGGAGGCAGCTCTGCACTCATCAGCCCTCACAAACTGCCAGTTGCAGAGATTTCACCAATCATATTTATAAGCAGTGAACAAAGGAATGCTTTCAAACTTACAAATGCATAAGTAAACATTTAATAACGTCTTCCCCACCTCATCTTTCCCAAAAGAGAGAAAATATTGTATCCATCAGATCCACTTCTGAGTATCCTGTTCATTCCAATAAGTAGGTGTTTTTCTTTTCACTAGAACAGAAAAACACATCTGCTACATTTTATATCCAACTCTTTTTTATTTTAAAAGATACTTTTACTGCCTTTTGCCTAGCATAGCTTTTGGAACACGTTAGCAAATAATATTTTACCATGGGGAGTGTGTGTTCCATTTTATTTTATAATGCAGATTTGAGGAGTCGTAGCACTGAAGTTTTTGTAACCACATGGAGGTTTGAAGCAACAACCACACTC